GTGGTGGCCATGAGCTGACTTTTGGTCACCCACAGCCCTGTGGCCTCCTGCATGGCTGCCCAGCAGCACCCGCACAGCGCTGCACACACATGCTTGGGAGTTTACCCACTTTGAATCTCTGCACACACCGCATAGGCACAGCCTTGCCAGACAGCTACCAGGACTGAAGGCTGATTGCAAACTAACAAAGATTTTTTTTTAAAGGAAAGGTAAAATGTCAGCCCTTCAACCCAAAAAGGCAAAGACCAGAAATTTAGCCACAAGAAAAGATACAGGAAGCCTGAGCTTCAAAGAGGTGGCACTGCATTTCCCACTGGTGAGGACAGGGCAAAGTCACCTCTCTCATTTTACATACAGGAATCTGGAATCTCAGCTCCTTCCAATGAAATGGGCCACTGCAGCTTGAGGAAGCTGTCACAGAAATCTAGATGTGACAGTTCCCCCACAGGCTACAGTCCTGTAGCCCTTCCTCTGCCTTTGTCTACAAAATTCCCCAGCTCCAGCCCAGCAGCCCAGATAGACTTCCCCATGCTCCATCTGAGCACTTTGCCTCAACTGTGTCTTATGGACGCAGAGGTGGACAACACACAAGCCCTCACATCTCGTGTCCCCAGCGGGCAGGCCCGTGCCATGTCTGCTAACAGCTTTCTAGGAGCCTCTTAAGGACCTCATGTCCTGGGGAAAGGTCCTCTGATGACGGCCACCCTGGCAGGGGACAGTCTCTGCTGGCCCCACTGTGGACATCAGGGATCTGTGGTCAGGACTGCTGGCTGTGGCCCCCTCAGCTGGTCAAAATCCCAGAGCTGCTGCCACATGATATTCAGCTTGTCCTGAATGGATAACAGCTGGACATGCACAAGGCCTCTCAGTGGCCAAGCCCCCCACAGCAGCCCTAGTGCCTTCCATGGATGCCAGGTTGGTGCCTGGACAGTCCGTGTGGCCCTTGGCCTCTTCTGGGCATCAGAAGCAATCAGCTACACACACAGGGATGACCCCAGCACTTCCTGCAATGCAGGAAACAGCCCAGCAGCTGAGAGCTCCTTTCCTCTCCCCAGAGAGCGGCACTCACACCTCCAGGTTAGGGGTGGAGGCAAAGGTCAGCCATGCACCTGGAAATTATGCTCCCAGTTCCCCAGGCTGAGTTTCCAGACCAGTTCTGTCCCCCCTCTCCAAGAGGCATTTCCTACAAAGCAGTCTGTATCCCTGGGGCGCCTGCCAGGTTGCTCTCGTGTCCCCTGGGCTTGGATTAGTGAAGACACTTGGCCCATCCCAGGCTGGGTGGGGAACACTAGGGCATTTGTGATTCCAGAAGTGCAGAAGGTTGAAGGGTGCTGATGCTGCCCAACCTTGGAGACCCCCAGGGCTCCTCAAGGTCCCAGGTCCCCAGGCCTGTCCTTGGAGTCCCAACATCCTAGTGAGCTCCTGGGCCCATGTGCACATCTGTGCTGACCCTGAAGGGTCAGGCCATGTCCCAAACGCCAAGCACTGACAGGGAGCCAAAGAGAATGAGGGACAGCAATGACATGGTGTGGCCACAGCTCCCGTTGACACCCAGACGACGTGTGGGCTGGCTCTTCTCTGTGCCCAAGGGCACCTGGGCTTCCCTCCCTCCTGTGGCTGCCCTTCACCCTGGACAGCTGGAGGTGGCTTGTCCCCCAAATACAAGGTTTCTTGTGGCTGGAACACTCATGCCTGACCAGTGGAAAGTACCCTAAGCGATGCTTGTCCCTCTGGGGCACTGTGGTCTGGCAGCAAAGAAGAGCAGCTACTACCTCATCCTAAGCACATGCCCTCACTTCTGAGTTTCCCTGGAGACGTCTCTTGTGTCTAGGTGCCTTGTTTCTATGTCAATTGGGAATAGGGAGGTGTCCAAACTGTGACTGAAGCAGTGGGGACTTTCCCAGAAATAAGCCAAGGCTAACACCTTCCCAGAAGGAGGTATGAGTCTGCAGGTGTGGCGGTACCTGGCCCCTTAAGGGAAGGACTGGCCTGGCCCAGCACAGCAAGGCCAGCAAAGATGGAGGAAGTGAGCTGAACTTTGAAGAGGTGACGTGTGTTTCCCACCGACCTCCTGCTGATGAGGACAAGGCAAAGTCACCTCTGCTGCCCAGGAAAGACACTGCAGGGATGAGGGTATGAGGCCTAAGATCAGCTGCAGGAGGAGCCTGCAAGTTCCAGGGGCTTCTGCAGATGAGGCCACACCAACGGTGACAGCCAGAGGCTTGTATAGGGAACCCTTAGGCCCTGGCCTAAAGTTCAGCCCTACTCAGGGGTATCAGCAGGGACTCACACTGGTCACTACCACATCCAGCAAGACTACCTCCTCCTAGAAGGCCTAACTGGTGAGCAGCTCTCTGAAGCTGGGGTTTGCCTCAGATGGGCCATGCAGAGAAACTGAGCAAGCTATGTAGTTGTGTCCTTCCTTCCCACAGACGTGGACAGCTCCAGAGTCTCCAGGGACGGCCACAATCTCAATCTTTCCGACCCTTATTCCAAGACCTTCAGCCTACACATACACGGGTCCATCGGAATCCCAGTTAAACGCCAGCTCTGGAGTCAGCAGGACGCTCCTTTCTTAGGCTTAGTGGAAATCTGCGTTTCATTCGCAACAACAAAGCAGTGACTCTTGTCCTTTGAACTATTTCCCACCAGACTCAGGGAGGCTGGAGAAACTAAAGAGTGACACATGTGAGTGACCATCCCGCACAAAGCCTTGTGGGGACCACTGCTGCTCCTCAGCCAGAAACTTTCAGAAAATCCACTGCCAAGTACTGCTTTGAGTCACCCCCATCACTGCAGGCAATCCGAATGCGCCCAGGACCTCTGTGGCTCTGTCACACATCTCTCTCCAGATCTCCCACAAGGCTATGGTCAACGATCCCACAGCCCAGCCCTTCAGAGGCGCACAGCTAAGAGACCACACTGCCCCATCAAGCCGTGTTTCTCAGAATGGCACAGAAGAGTCACCCACAGGGAGGTGAGTGGCGTGGACAGATGGGCCTTGTGAATGCACAGATGTACAGACAGTATCAAAGTTAAGTTCATCCCATTAACTTTCAGGGGGTGGGGAGAAGGCAGGTGACAGCTGGCTTGTGCATACATGCTTGGTGTCCAGGAGGATACCTGTCATGATTCTTGGGACAGAACAATACCCATGGTGGCCCTGTATGGAAACACAGGGGCCACTTCAGAGAGGAGAAGGGGTGAGGCCCCTATCAGGTAGTACTGGGGGTGCAATGTGATCCAGGTTTGGCCTTCCTCAAGGGACCTCCCCCCACCACAGGACACGGATGATGGACAGAGCTCTGGATGCTTTCTGAAGAGCAGAAGAGGACATGGTGGGAGACATAGGGACACAGATTCGACGCCTGCTGTGCCCCCACTGAGAACTGGCCAGCAGTAAAAGCAGTGGGGAGGCCACAACCTCTGCTGGACCTGGGCAAAAGCTGTTCAGTGTGGCTCAAGCTGCCCAGCAACAGAGTCAGCAGTGCTGTTGTGAGGACACCTGGACCCACTGAGGTCACACGCCTCGGCAGGGGTCCTGACTCCAGGCTGGTAGCTGGTCAGGGGCTTGCAGAGCATGGCCAAACAAAGAGAAGAGAATCTGCAGTGCTTGAGTCTCAAGGCTAAGGTGTGTTTAACTCACAGGTCAGTCCTGACCCCTGAGACCTTTTGTTCATGAAATGAGGGCAAGATTACAAGGTAATAATGCAGGCTAGATCCGCACCACTGTTTAAAAATGTCCCAAACCATGAAATCCACAGCATCTGCCAGGGAGAAAGCCCCCAGGTAGGAAGGCCAAGGAACAGAGGCCAGCCTCAACCCTCACCCACAAGGTGAATGCCAGCCCAGCTTCCTGGCTAACCCTGATTTCACATCTCTGATCAATGACACATCTGAACACCAAGCTGTCCAGAGGTACTACTGGCCACCAACATTCCCTCAGGCAAATGTAACTGGCAGCAAGAGCAAAACCAAGCCTGGGCATTTCCCTGAACAGCCTTGTTCTGGTCCCCACCCACCACGGAGGAGCACCCCACCACTGAACTGACTATGCTGGTCAGAAAATACCTCAGCATGCACTTCCTCCCTTTACAGTGTGGCATTAGACACCCCCAGGAAACATGAATCCAAACTCTATTACATGCTAATTTAAGCATATGTAGGACCCCATCTCAGGACAGGACCTCACAGTGTTCACAAAGACAGCAGAAGAATGCCCTTCTGCAGCGGCCACTGTCTTCCCACGGCTCTGGGGGCAGTAGGACCAGTGGTGGGCAGCGGAGGGTCTCACCCACCTCTGTGGCTACCCAAGGTTGCTGAGCAACCCCCATAACTCCAATAACAGCCTAATGTCTACTTCTTTCAGTTTGGCAAATATGGCTGCTTTACCCAAGACCCCTCCAGGGGTCTCAATGGCAGTTCTCAGTTCCTTGACATGGTGCCTTCCTAATGCACCCTCAGGGACACCCAGTCCTAAGCAAGACCCGTGTGACCCCGGTAGCACCCTGTAGTTTGAGTGGCCGGTTTTCCTGTTCTCAGTGTGTGGGGGACCCTCCCTAGAAGCCTATGGTCACCCTTCCAAAAGATCAGAGGCAGAGCTGGTTTCCAAGTCCTGCCATCTTTGCTGTGCAAGCGACTCACCCCATGGCCAATGGAGACCCCTCAACTGCTCGGTCCTAAATATTAACGTTGGCCCCCCTCAGCCTGGGACATCCAGGCCCCAGTTTCTCCCGCCACACTCCATTCCTTGGCTCCTCCAGCTGGAGAAGTGAAGCCCCCACCCCAATCCCAGCTTTGGAATTCCTTTGCACGCCCAGCCCCAACAGGGGTTCAGATTCCGTGACCACACAGGACCTCCAGCCCGCACTCCTGCACGCTGGAGGGGGACTGGCTGTCTTGGTCACTGGGTGTGCCTTCTGCGTCCCCAGGTCTGGGTGAGGGGACACAACTCTGGCACCACAGACCTTGGTCCCGCGCGACCCCATCCCGCCACCTACCTGCTTGTCCCGCGCGCGGTGCTCCACGCCGCCGCCAGCGCGCCGCTCCGCCTCCTCCGCGCCTTTGCGGCCGCTCGCATACGCGGACACCACGAAGCTGTCCCCTGCGGCCGGCGTGAGGACGCGCGGGAAACGCGGCACCAACGAGGAGGAAGGACACTCCGTGAGCCCCGCGGGCTGCGCTTTCGCTGATCCCGCCGCCCCACGCCCACCCCATCCCCGGGGGCCGAGAGCCGGGTGGGGTCGGGACCCGCGCGCTCCCTGAGACCCGCGGCCGGGACGCCCACCCGAGGGCGCGAGGCGGGGCGCGCTCCGGCTCGGGGCTCCGAGTGTCCGGCCCGGTGGCCGCTCCGAGCGCGCGCTCACCTTCGGGGCTCTCTCTCCGCTTGCTGGCTGCGGCGGCTGCGGCGCGGCCGGAGGACGCGGGGGAGAGGGAAGGGACAGTGAGTGGCGGCACCCGCCCGCGCCCAGCCCGCCCGGCCGGCCCGCATCTCACCGTGCTTGGACTGAAATTTCCCCATGCTGCCGCCGGGGCCGGGGTCCCGCGCCCACCCGCCGGCCGCGCGCTCAGGTGCAGGTCCGAGGTCCGGGGCGGGACGTCCGCGGGGGCCGCATGGATCGGGTGCCGTACGGAACTCGGATCGGGGAGCCGGGAGCCGGGGCGGGGCGGGCGCGGCTCGGCCCGGCGACAGGGGACAGCGGCGCCGGCGGCGGCCCGGCTCCTTCTGAGCGCGCGCGCTCGCGCCCGGGCTTTAACCGCGGCCACCGCAGCGCCCCCCGCGGCCGCGGCCCGCAATGCACGCGCCGCTCCCGCGCTCCCCGGAGTCCACCAGCACCACTGGGGAGGTGGGGGGCCTCGCCCCACAGCCCGCCGGCCAGCGACTAGGGCCTGCAGCTGCCTGAGGGGACGATCAGAGGCTGCAAGTGGACCTAGAGGTTCTGGCTCCCTGAGGACCCCTGTGGGGACCCCAGTCCTGCCCAGGCCATTTTGGGCTTGGGATCCCCAAGCTAGAGGGCCTCTCCTTTTGAAGGGAGGACCCTGCGGATGCCCAGGTCCTGGAGCCTCGTCTTGCACCCCTTGGCTGGTGGGAGTGTGTGTGGGCATCCGAGGGGGAGAGGACAGGAGCCCCATAGGGAGGACCTGGAGAGGGGGGCAAGGGCCCATCCTGGCCTGGGGTGTGCACCTCCTCCCTTCCTCCTGAAGATCCCAGTCCTGCTAGCCTCTTTGTGCCCCTCGCTCGTGAAGGACCAGCACTGACCACCTTGGATAAACCCTGTACTCCTCTTTTTGACCATGGCGGGGACTGGGTCTTTGATGGTTGCCAGCAAAGTGCTGACACCACCCCCACGGCTCACAGAGAAGCTGCCTTTTCTCACTTCTGTCTTTTGTCACCTGTCATTTTTTCACCTCTTTGGCCCTGTTTGTTACTTAGGACACTGCTCCTTTGGCTCTCAGGCAGAGCACCTGTCCTACTGGCACACTAGCCAGCCTTTCTCCCTTTCCACGCATGTGATAGCAGCCAGCAGGCGGGCACACCAATGGTTCAGGGAAGCCTTGCGGTTGTTGGACCGTAAGGTGCCCATATTTGCTGACCCCAGACAGGGCCATGTAGCAGCCACAGATGTGCAGAGACAGAGGGACTTGTATGACTGTTGGGGCTCACCCACCCACCAGAGCACTGTCCTAAGTACTAACCTTGCCTCTTTCCTTCTCTACCTGAGACAGGACTCCACCCCCACACGGCAACTGTGGAAGAGGCAAAGCAGGGCTACAGGGAGGGTCCCAGGAAACTGTGTGAGAGAGGGGACAGCACTGCCCACCCTGGTCAGCATCTGCAGCTGTGCTTGGACACACAGTCATAGAGGCCATATTGAGAGAAAATTCTAGCAAGGACAGGCACGACCACGTCTCACCTGCCTCCTGAAGTCCAGGCTTGTCTTTGGCAGACTGTGTGAGGCAGGTGAGGCCAGGTGAGGCAGGTGACTCAGGCTATGTCCTGCATATACTGCTTCATCCTGCTGGGGGCATGGCATGTCCTGCAGCTTCCCAACCAGGCATGGATGGAAGTTTCCAGGGAATGGCCATCCCATCTCTCCACAACCAGGGCCACCGCTCAGCTGGGTGGACAGACTGTTGACCCTACGAGAGAGAGGACACGGAGCAGCTGCTGAGCTGGATGACAGCAGGCCCAGATCCTGTGTGGACCATGGACAGCTTCCTATGGTGCATGGATGAAATGCTGTGACATTCTGGTGTCAAAGTCACAGAATCCTCGTGCTCAAGTCCGGTGGAGCTCTGGCAGCCTCCTCCCTTGACAACCTGAAATGTCCTCTCAGGTGTGCCCACTGCTCCCCTCCCAATCCAGGGGCCTAAAGGGGCTTTTGCCCCTGACTCGAGGTTCTTCTCAGGCCATTCCTGCCTCACCTTTCTCTGTGGTTGCTCAGGGCACCTGCACTTGGGCCCCTGCACTGTGGCTGGAGCAACAGTGTCTCAAGCCAAGTGTTCTTGTCCCCTCAGGTTGGCCAAAGTGGGAAGGCTGAGCCCAGGTGGCTGGGCCAGGTAGGGACGCACTTTCACCCCACATCCCACTTCTGTGTTCCATGTCCGTTGTCCTGTGCCCTGCATCCTGCCTTACTCTGCCTGAGGCCTTTGGAAGAGGTCCGCCTGTTGATAAAATCAGCTCTCAGAACTTTCAAAGAGCAGGAATATGGCGCAGACACGCCTGGCTCGTTAATTTGCATCCTTGCAGCTTTTCAAAGGATTTTGTCATTATCTGTCAGAGATGGGAGAGCAGCACCCTTATCTGTAAGATGAAGAGACGCCACCCGGCCTCCACCTCTGTGTTTTGGCTGTGGCTGCCTGTGCTCACTTGTGCCGATCTCCTTGTGGGCTGTGTGGCCTTGGATGGGGCAAACTCAGGACCCTGGGCAGCAGTGTACACTTCTGTCAATCCGGTCCCCTTGTCTGAACAGGGCACAACTGTGGGGTCCTCCTGTCCTTCTCCCTGTAGATTGGTCTTGGGTTGGGTGTGGGGATGGGAGGCTCAAGCCAAGGAAACATTTGCACTCATGAAACCTTCAGAAATGAAGTTCTGTGTGTTCATCACTGGGCCAGCGTGTCACCTCTCAGCTGTGACACCTGAATGGGCCATTCTCATGTCCTGAGGGGCTGAACTCACCCTGTGTCTGTGTCGTTGCCACTGTGGCAATTGTTCCTTACTGTTTTCCTTCCCTCTTCAGAAGTGCAATGAGGTCCAGCTCACACCTGGCAATGCAGACAGAGCACAGTGATGTTCACCTTGTCTAAAACTGACCACAGGCTGAAAACATCTTGCAGAAAATCAGACTCATGGGACAATCAGGGGTCTTCCCTGGGTGCTGTGTCTGCCTCCACTTAAGTCTGGGCAGACCCCATCTTCTGGCCCCTGCCAGATGCAAACACATCCTGACTGTGTTTTTGGTACCATTGTCCACTCCTGCCCTGACAGTCCCAGTGCTGGAATTCCTGGGGGCTGCTGGACACCTGCACGTGGTCATTTGTCTCAAGGCAAAAAAGAGCACAAAGGTAGAAGTGGAGGTGGCAATGTGCGGGTGTGCACACTTACACACACGCATGGGTGTGGAGCAGGAGCTGCCCAAGTGGGCACCAGGAGCGCTGTCTTCAACTTAACCCTTGGAGTTGGATCTCAGCTTCCACTTGCCTTAGATTTTGGCTGCTGGAAGTTTCTGGAAGGCATGGTGCTTTCTAACTGCAGCTGACTTCTGCCTCCACAGCCCATCTCTGTGCTGTGGGTGTCTCCATACATCGAAGTGCCCCCCCCCCACCACAGACTGATACCCCTCACTGAACTAGCCAGCACCACTGGAGACCACATGCAAGCCAGCCTCCTTGTGAGGCTGAGGTCTTGCTCAGGAAGTGCCTGCTTTGGGACCAGACAGAACATGCTAGATGCTAGGGTCAGAGTGTGTGTGCCATGTGACCCGTCTCACCAGGCCTCTTCTGTGCAGACATCAAAAGAATGCAGACTAGGCAGGTACTTTCCTTCCCAGTGGGTGTGTGCCCATCATTGTGTGAATGGATTGCTGCATTTTTAAGTGCATGAGATGACCTCAGAGTTGCCCTGAAGACCTCCCTGTTTCTGCCCATCTCTCTTTCAATGTGCAGAGGTCTGGCCAGTGGAGGTTGGTTGTGAAATATCAGCTGCAGCCCTGCACCTTCACCTGCTTCCCTTTGGAGCAACACATGTTGGCATTTTTTTTTATGGTACTGGGACTTGAACTCAGGGCATCGCTCTTGCTAAGCAGGCACTCTACCACGTGAGCCACTCTGCCAGCACACATTGGCATTTTATAGACCCTGCTCAGGCCTGCGCAGAAAGGTCAATATGAATTCACAAAACACATGTAATCTTACATTTCAAGCTGTGCCCTCTCTCCTGAGTGTTGTTACTGCATAAAAGCCTACTCTGGACCAGGCACAGTGGCTCACTCCTGAAATCCTAGCAGGTGGGAAGCAGAGATCAGAAGGATCACAGTTTTTGCCATCCCAGGGAAAACTTATTGAAACCCCATCTCAACCAATAAAAAGCTGGGTGTGGTGGTGCCTACTTGTCATCCCAGCTAGGTGGGATGTTAAATAGGAGGATCAGAATCCAGGCTGGCCGGGCATAAATGCAAAGCCCTATTAAAAAAAAAATAACCAAAGCAAAAAGGGCTGGAGATATGGCTCAAGTGTAGAGCTCCTGCCTTGAAAGCACAATGACCTGAGTTCAAACCCCGACACTAACAACAACAACAAACATTTATCCTAAATCACAAATGTACAGCGAATCATTGCTTATATGTCAGGTGCTCGAAACTACCACAAGGGTCGTGGTTTTGAAGCAATAGCTGGGGAGCTTGCCTGTCTGGGGTTCATGACAGGGGACCCCTTCGTTTATCCCCACCCTGACCAGAAACACTTGCTCAGCAGCAAGGACACAGTTACGAGTGTGCTCCTCCACACCAGCCTTGCTTTGTGGGTAGGAAGGAGACATAGCTTTTGATGGCAGGCAAATATGTGTGCTACTCTCATGCAGATTTGTGTTTAGAGAAACACACCAGAAAAAAGCCACTCTGTTCACAAGATGGGTTTCACAAGAATGGTGTCGTTGGCGTGACTTTGTCTGCATTGTTTTATGGGTCTTCCTGTTTTTATCACCATTAAAATTAAGCTTTGCAGGTTGTGTAGCAAGAGGCAGGTGGATGGTGCACCTGAGCAACAAAGAAACCCAGAGGATGCACCATGTTAGACCACAGAGCACATGGGCATCAGCCAGTGCACACACACATGTGCACACAGGACAAGGGCCATCACTTTTGGATCCATCATTCTTTGAAGTAGGAGAGATGGAGGTGAACTTGAGAAGCCACCTGGAGCCCTGTGTACTTAGTTTCTGAAATCTCAACTGTCCGAGTGATACACAGGTGTGCCAGGTGGCTGAGAAGCATGTTTGTGAGTCAGTGTTAGGGCCTCACTATG